TCAAGACCAGTGACACGCGCACGCTGCAGAGAGCGTCCAAGCACCGGTTCTTGTCTGCAAAGCTCCCGAATGAGAACTGCCCTGTCCAAAATGTTTGTTGCTGTCTGGTACACGCAGACTAGCATTCTGGAATGTGCATTGAGCTTACTCGAATGATGTTACCAGAAACTTCTGCAGTTTGCAGACTTGTCATCATGGATTCAAGCTCACTCATAGTAGTCTTTGTATTGCGTGGTGTAAATTGCTCTGTGCGAAAGAAAAAGAGAGAGAGAGAGAGATCAGACTCGGTTGTGACCGTTTGTGCTGGCCTGACAAGCTCAATAGTCATGTCGGCCCGGTAGCTCAGCCGCCTCAACAAAACTAATCTTTAGCAGCGGCCTGCACTCTAATCGGTTCTCAAGTGCTTTTTCACAAAGCCTAATGAAGAAAAGTTCTGCTGAGACTTGTTAAATGCATCACTTACAGATCCGACACGGTTTAAAAAGTGCCTGCTGCCGTCTTAACTAGAATTGCAATGAAGTTTGCTTGAGGGAGTTTTCGTGCCGCGAGCACTAAAGACATTGAGAAATAGAAAAGATGATGCTTCTACCTGATTGTTGTTTCTTGGATTTTCTGCAGAAACAAACAACAAAATACGTTGGACAAACCACTTGTAGTATTTCTAACGCAGGCCTTTGTTTCGACGTGTCCTATGTTGTTTTATGCAGCAAGGTGCTGCGATTTCGTGTCAAGCATTTTTGGACGGATGTCTGACAACGTCGCAAGTGCGGCTGTTTCCTGTTGCTTGCCATGTTAAAAATTTATCTGAACTCGCAAATTTGGTTGCTGTGGCAGAAGTTGAGTAAACGTTGCGGGAGTGTGGTTTTCCACAAGCTTTATTCGTGACGGCCGTAGCTGTTCATTTTGAAGCTTGAAGATGCTAAGCTCAAAGCTTTCAGGACATCTCAAAGCCGTCGTCGCTGCTGCTGCTTCTCCTGCACCTGCACCTTTCTTCAGCTACTATGCAGAGCCATCTTTCCGAAGCGTTGTGCTCAATGTAACGTAGATATTTGTACTTCCCTGCCATGGAAGGTCTTCAAGTTAGCCGCCTCCCCGCAACACGGGTGAGAGCAACCAGCTCATCTTTCAGTTCGTGCTCGGCATCGAGCCTGTGCGGCCTCAATAGGAGAAGAGATTTGTTTGCAGCTTCAGAAGGTGGAGCACGTTCCCGCATTGACACATGGCTTGTTGCAGCAGGTCTTGCGCAACTCGGACGAGTGGTGTCGAGGAAATCGCGGTTGACGTCAAGACAGAAACAGTGGCTTCACTCACGGCTCTCGTCGGTGGCTTGTTTCGCTACTGGGCAAGATTGGACTCGCCGAGACCAGCTGTTGCAAATTGAAGACAAGATGCAGCAACTTTGGGAAGAGCACAAAGCTTACGAGATTGATGCGCCCGAAGATGCGAGCACTTCAGCAGAAAAGTACTTTGTCACCTTTCCCTTCCCTTACATGAACGGAAAGCTTCACCTCGGCCATGCTTTTTCCATCACGAAGGCAGAGTTTGCAGTTCGCTTCCAGCGCCTCCAAGGAAAACGAGCCCTCTTCCCCTTCGGCTTCCATTGTACCGGCATGCCGATTGCCGCAGCCGCCTTGAAACTGAAGGAATGTATTGCTCAGAGACAAGCAGGAAACAACGGAGAACAGGAGTCTGCCTTGCAAGCAAAATCTGCAGAAGTTGACAGTTCTGGCGAAGAAGCACCGGGTGTTTTCAAGGGCAAGAAGTCAAAAGCTGTGGCGAAATCGGGTGGCTTGGATCAGTATGACATCATGCTGGCACTTGGGATCGCGCCTGATGATATCCCCAAGTTTACAGATCCGAAGTACTGGCTGGAGTTCTTTCCGCCTTTGGCAGTTAAGGACATGAAGAAGTTCGGGGCGGCAGTAGATTGGCGTCGCACGTTCATCACGACGGACCTGAACCCCTACTTTGACGCCTTCGTCCGGTGGCAATTCCTCAAACTCAAGGAGAAATACCTTGCAAATGGTAAGCGTCAGACGATCTTCTCTATCACAACTCAGCAGCCGTGTGCAGATCACGACCGGTCAGAGGGGGAAGGTGTCAACCCCCAAGAATACACTCTGATAAAACTGAGGGTCAAAGAATTGCCTGAAGATTGGACGTCGGTGCTTGGAGACGGCAAGGTCTTCTTGGTGGCAGCTACGTTGCGACCCGAAACCATGTATGGGCAGACAAACTGCTTCGTCTTGCCAGAAGGTGAGTATGGTTTCTTTCGCATGCGTGGAGGAGACATCTTCGTCTGCAGCCAGCGCTCTGCATTGAACATGTGCTATCAGGACTTGGCGGAGAGTTCCGAGGACAGTCAGCCGGTTTGCCTGATGGCAAAGACTGGTGCAGACCTGGTTGGGCTTCCACTCGATGCCCCGTTATGCCAGTACCCTACAATTCATGTATTGCCGATGTTCACCATCTCCATGCAGAAGGGGACAGGTGTTGTGACCAGTGTCCCGGCTGAAGCACCTGACGATTTTGCTTGTCTCACGGATTGGAAGAAGCGCTCCAACTGGCGAGAGCAATATGGAGTCAAGGAAGAGTGGTGCCAGCCTTTCGATGTTGTCGACATCTTGACATTTCCAGATGCAGAAGAAGATGTGCCGTCAGCACCAGCTATTTGCGAAGCAATGAAGATTGAATCCCACAGAGACAAGGACAAGCTGGCCGCTGCCAAGAAAGATGTTTATCAAAAGGGCTTCTATTCTGGAGTCATGAAGGTCGGCCCATATGCAGGACAGAAAGTCATTGATGTGAAGGCCAAGATCAAGCAAGACCTCATCGATGAAGGAGCCGCGGTACCATACTTTGAGCCTGAGGCTAAAGTGGTTGCACGTTCTGGCGATGAATGTGTCGTGGCGCTGTGTGATCAGTGGTACTTGAAGTACAGCGATGAAGAGTGGACCAGCAGAGTTCGCAAGCATGTCTCAGAGAATTTCGAAATGTTCAGTGAGCCTGCAATGAATGCTCTGACACATGCAGTCGGCTGGCTCGGCGATTGGGCATGCTCGCGGACATTCGGCTTGGGGACAAAGCTTCCTTGGGATGAACAGTGGCTGATCGAAAGCCTCAGTGATTCAACAGTTTACATGGCTTACTACACAGTGGCACATCTCCTCGAAGGTTTGGAAGGAGAAGACAAGATCGAAGCCAGTGATTTGACAGAGGATGTCTTCGACTACGTCTTCAGCATCAGCGAGAATCCTCCAGAGAATTCGGGTATTTCCACCGAGGTGCTTGCGAAGATGAAGCGCGAGTTTCAATATTGGTATCCAGTTGATCTGAGATGCTCGGGCAAGGACTTGATTCAGAACCATTTGACAATGTCGCTCTTCAATCATGCCGCCGTGTGGCCAGAGGAGCGTTTCTGGCCAAAGGCGTTCTATTGCAATGGTCACATCATGGTCGATTCCGAGAAGATGTCAAAATCCAAAGGAAATTTTCTGACATTGGAGGAGGCGATCAGCTCCTACTCCGCAGATGCAACCCGCATCGCATGTGCAGATAGTGGTGATGGCCTGCAAGATGCCAACTTCTCCAGGGAGTCCTGTGGGAAGACCATCCTTCGATTGACCACGCTTCAGGCCTGGGCGGAGGATGCAGTCAGCAGTTTGCCAAGCATGCGAACTGGAGACTTCACGTTTTTGGATGACATCTTCAGCAACGAAATCACGAAGAGTGTGGTGGCTGCTCATGAGGCATACTCAGGAATGCTTTTCAGTGATGCTTTGAGATCTGCCCTCTACGACATGGAGAACCTGCGCTCTCAGTACAGCATCCTCACGAATGGCGACATGCATGCAGATGTGATCAAACGGCTTTTGGATTCCCAGACAATCATCCTGTCCCCGATTGCTCCGCATTTCTGTGAAAACCTGTGGCGAAAAGTTCTCGGCAACGAGACCCTGGTCGTGCAAGAAGCGTGGCCCACTGCGGAGAAGGAGTACAATCCTTTTCTTTCGCGACAGTATGCCCTAATTCAGGGCACACTCCGCACCTTCCGCCTGCAGCTGGAGAAGTTCAAGAGCCCAAAGAAGAAGAAAGGACAGCAAGCTCAGGGGCCCCCTCCCACACCAAACAAAGCTATAGTCTTCGTGGCCAAAAGCTACAAGGATTGGCAGGTTGATGTGCTGAAGGCTTGCCGCACGTGTCAGTGCATTCGCACACGTTTGCAAGTTGTGCATTCATTGCATTGTGTCTGCCAAGCCTAATCGCACAGGTCCTGCAGACGGTCGAGCTCAATGCAGAGAATGAGCCTGTAGACAAAAACTTCATGGGACAAGTCCGCGCAGCAGAGAATATCAAAGACCTGCCGAAGCAGGTCATGAAGCAAGTCATGCCATTTGCCTCCTTCGTCATGAAGCAGGTGGGCTTTGTAAAGCAGCTCGATGAGTAGCTCTTTTTCTCATGCTATGTCGAGGAGGTCAAAGCGAGAGGCTCCGAGGCTCTGGAGTTGGAGTTGCCCTTCGACGAGGTGGGATGAAGGATGTCAGAGCAAAAGTTAGATCAGTGCTTCTGGCGATGCAAGGCAGCCATGTTGTGCGATCTGAGTGATGCGAGAAGCTCAGAGAAGACACAACAGAGTAGCCCGTGTTTGTTTCCCGAAGTCTGCAGGTGATAAAAGCGCAGTTGGGCGTTGAGACGCTGGAGGTTGTGAGTGCTGCTGAAGAGCATCCTCTGGGCTATGACCAGCAGCGTGACGCTGCCGGACCAGCAAAGCCACAGATCGTTTTCCTAGCTGACCAGTTGGAAAGCGTTACCGCGTGAGATAATGTGTAGTGGTGGGCAGCTCTTTGTGCAGTTCCAATTTTCAAGTTCAGCCCATACGATTTTCGACAGCCAGCACAGTGCGTGCAGAAACAGTGTGTGAAGGGATTGTGGAAAGCGTGCAGCTTGAGCTCGAGCCGCCTCCGATGTTGAATTGGGACCGCACGAATTTCTTGCGCACCATGTCGCCCCTTTGGCCAAGCTTCCTGGGAGCACAAGGGTGGAGAGGGCCAACCTGCTCTGCCCGTCCAGGCCTTGGGCCTGGTCTGCACGTGTGCACAGATGGGCAGATCCTGCATCAGCCTAGCCGCCCTAGCCGCCCCAGCCGCCCTAGCCAAGTTGTTGTCTGCAAGGTAACATAGCTGCGTGGCCGCAGCATGAGACCCAGCATGCAGTCAGAATTCGCAGCCTCCACATGCTCTCTGTCTCAGGCTTCGCACAATGCGATGGCCGAAAGCTGCTCGAAGATTAGCAGCGCTCGCTGTGTCTGTCACGATCCAGAGAGCGGCAACCTCGACGTGTCATGCAGTTTGCAGAGTGCATCTGGCTTTTTCGTTCTGAGGTAGTGGCATCTGACACAGAGAGCTGGCTGGTGAGGCCGTGCTGCATTCTGCAGCGATTTGTGCTGCGCCATGGCCGCACCTGTCAGATGTTCCACGGACTGCAACGGGCGAAACCAATGCGAGGAGGCGTGGATTTTGGTAGCTTGTCTCGCTCATGTAGTCAGACGCGATGCTGCCGTGATGCTCAGCCTGTGGTTGATTGTGGTTGTGTGACGGGCAGCTATGGCTCCAGGTATGTTGGGGTGATTTCTCAGATCCTGCCACGCAGGATGCCCTTTCCTGCGACCGTCCCACGCAAAGCTCAGACCTCTCAGGCCTCACATCTCGCAGGTCTGCGTAAGGACATTGATCGCTTTCTGGACCCTCAAAGCTCACAGCCTGTGCCTGTGAATGCGGGGACTTCTGTGGATGTGCCTGGTGCAGGCAGTGCATGCGTTGTGTCGCAAGGCCAAAACTTCTCAGAGATCCAGAGGCTCTCTCAGAGCAATGAGGAGCTGCAGCGAGCTTTGGAAGGGGCTCGACAAGAAGTGAAGACGAAGTCGAAGACTGTGTCCAGTCTCAACAGCACTCAGAGAAGCCAGCTGAGCAATGTCAAAAAGGAATGTACCGAGCTGCGAGAAGATGGCAGAGCAAAGAAGAGGCGGATAAGTGAGATGGAGGATGAGATCCTGAAGCTGCGGCGTGAGCGGGACAAGCTTGTACATGACTTGCAAGAAGCCCAAGAGCGTTCACAGCGTGATCGACAGGCTATGCAGAGCAAAGCTGCGGAAGAATGTCGAACACGGGAACTCACAATCTCTCAGCTTGAGTCAAGGCTCGAGCAGCTTGCCGAAGCGACCAAGCCTACCGCCAAAGACCATGAGCCGGCAGCCACCAGGATTTCTGAGCTGGAGCAGGAGGTCCTTGCGTTGCGGATGCTTCTGAAGGAATGGTGGCCAGAGAAAGAACTTGCTGGCCAACTTCAAGCAAAGCATCTTGAGCTTGATGGCGAGCTTCAGCAGCTGCAAAATGCACGGAAAGAGTTGCTCGCAGCCAGGGAGCAGATCAGAACCTTGGAGCAGAGCCAGGCATCTCTGACGTCTGCTTTGGAAGCACGGGACTCTTCCCTGCAAGAGCTCCGACATTCCGGCGCCGCCAATTCCCTCGCGAAGCAGGACCTCGTCGCTTTGGAGGAGGTCGTCTCGGAGATACTTCAGGCTGCCAACGAGTGTCGAATCGGTGGAAGCTTCCTGCCAACGGCCGGAAAGACAGCAGCGGCGAACCTGCGACTTGCTTGGTCTTTCCTGCAGTCGCGCCTGGCTACTGAAAGCCAGAAGCGTATGCAAGCTCAGCGCGAGCTGGATGCCACTGCAGAGAAGCAGAAAAGCATGCAAGTTGAGCTCAGCAAGCTTCGGGTGGAAGCGGTGCGTTGCGAGGAACTGAAGAAGCAGCTCCAGGACTCGCAGTCTGAACTCCAGTCTCTTCGGGAGGGATCGGCTGGTAATCCGGAGGATAGAGGAGAAAGGACGGAAGAATCTCTGGAGCTACAGAGGCAGGTGGCAGCAAAGCAGCAGACCATCGATGCCATCACAACAGAGGCAGAGTCCCTGCGCAACCAGCTGAGTCAACTGATGGATGTGGAAGGCAGGGCTAGAAAGCTGGAGCGTGTAAACGCCGAACTCTGGGAAGCCAACAAGGAGCTTGAGAGTCGGGTCGAAAGATTGGAGAGCGCCAATGCTGAGGAAGCAGATTTTGACCCGCGAACAACGAAAGTCTTGCATCTTACAAGAGGTCCAGTGCAACAGGTTGATGCCCACGCGAGCGGCGCCAGTGGTGACTTGGAGCAGCAGCAGGCATCAAGACAGTTGGACCGCTTCAAGAAAGCCATGCGCAAATATGTGCAGGAATTCAGAGAGGGCATTTACCACCTCTTAGGATGGAAGGTGGAGATGAAGGGCGATGGAAGTTCAATGCGATGGCACCTAACTTCGAGGTATCATGAAGGCCAGGAGCTGGTTTTCCAGCTCCGACCTGCAAGCACTGGACATCCCGCTGAGTTCGACTTGCTAGGAACTGTTTGGGCAGAGCAGTTGCAGGGTGACCGTCAGGCAATGGCATACCTTGAGGTCTACAGTTCTATTCCCGGCTTTCTGGCGCACGTGACCGTTGATCGCCTTGCCCAGCAGACTTTCACCCGATGAGCCGTTCGCGAACGGTACCCAAAAGAGTCTGCTTCTTGAGATGCCCAGGTGCACAGACAGGTCGACGTGCGCCCATGCCTGTCTGCATCATCGACATGTACTGACAGGTTTGTGCTGGAGAACAAGTTCAGCATCACGCCTGCCCATATCAGGTGTCGTCCTCAGTCGGTAATCTGTCGGCTTCTGGCGAAGAGCAGTATTTTTATCGGGACAACTTGGTCGGATGTTTGATGTGAGAATCATTGCAGCTTGATACAGCATCCATGTGAGCAAGCACATTGACTTGGACAGCTGTGAAAAAAAACACATAGGCGTGGGTGCAGCGAATTAAACACTGCACATGTATTACCATGCCATCTATACGTCTGTGCGCAAATCGTGGGAGCCGGCAGCATGGCATCCCAACCAGGGCGATGTGTTCGTGAGGCAGACTGCTCCTCTGCCAACAGCTTCTGCCCTGACGGGGAGGAACCGAAGGAATGCAAGTGTGCTCGACCTGTTCTTGTCAGCAAGATCTCACCGAATATCAATCAGAGCACTGGCTTGCCAGGTTCTCAGACTGGTCTGACTGGGAGGCCCCCATTGCATGCACTGGATTGTGTACCAGGACCAACGCCACATGAAAGCTTTCAGCAGCAAGTCGAAGAGCAGCAGAGAGACCGCGCTACATGCAGGAAACGAAGTATTCTACAACACAACAGCTGTGGTGGAGCTGCTTGCGAGTGCGGCTCACAGCGAAAAGTGGAATCTCAGAACATAGCACATGGTCCCAAGAGCCAAGCGTTGTCTCTCGCAGGGGTCCGCTTCAAGATTCCCAATACTGCCTCGACTCCTGCCCGCAGACTCCAGAGGCGGGAGTGCTTGGAGAAGCATTGCTTGCTTGTGGTCCTAGTGGCACAGGACTGTGAGCTCAGCGCCTGGGGAGAGTGGAGTCCTTGCAGCCTCAACGTCACGAATCAGAGGCTGCCATTTCCCTTTGCAGCCCAGCTGCTGCGCCACAGCTGCTGTTTGTGCGACCTAACAGCTTGTATTGAGCCTTGTCGCAGGGAGCGAAACCGAAGCGTGGTTGTTCTTCCCGCGCGGTGCCTGTTAAGTGGTTCAGCAGATCTCTGTTCTTGCACAGTGCACCTCGATGTCATCCGGGCTCAGTTTGGCAGCTTGCACAGGCATCGTTTCGAATGATGTATTTCTTACTCCTGACCCAGGCACGAGGCGGCGCCGAGTGTCTTGGTGCCCTTCTAGAGACAGAGGCATCGGCGTTGTTTCTTCAAGCATCTTCGCACATGGCCTCGGTGCAGCCTGTGCTATGTGGCTTCTGCGGCTTTGCAGGATTGCGGCTCAGCGGACACGGAGAGCGGCGACTGCATGCTTTCCACGTCACTGCCCTAGCATATGCTTGCATGTCTTCCGACTATCTCGGCATGCTACCTGCAGGTGGATGGACTGGAGCCCATGTAAGGCGTGCCTAGCTGAGACGGTGGAGCTGTGGACATGACCATTCGAGATCCTGCTTAAAGCTTGGAGTGAGTCGCTGCTTCATGATATGGTCGAAACAGCGCAAGCTGTCGCCATTACTTCCTGCCGAAATGTCTTTGGACGAATGAACAATTCTTATAGTGGAACATCCGTGGCTTCGGCTTTGTGCCTGGAGCAAGTTGTCGTGGTAAACTTCGCTGGACATGTCTGGCATGTCTGAATGTCTTCATCTCGGAAATCAAGATATGGAGTCAGTCCCGCCAACTCGTGCAGAAACCACGGCTTTCCTCAGCTCCCGGCTCCGGAACAGGAGATGCCTCTGAGGTGCGAAGACAAGCAGCGAGGCCGCCTCCGAACAATTCTTCATCATGCCGCTTGCCTGCGCTTGCTCGCTTTTGAAAATTGGCTTTCGCAGAGAGCGCCAAGCTAAGGCCAAGCATGGTGGAAGGCCAACTCGTGCAGTTACGAACAGAGCTGAAGGTGACGTTGTATTCTTGCATGCAGGCACTGTGAAGATACACTTAGCGAGACATCTGCGTGCTCTGATCCCGGCAGTGCGGGAACGGATGTGTACCAAGCATCGCAACAACTTTGCAGCCCATTCTTTTTGCTTGTCTGATTCGTGATGGATGAGGTCCCTGCGCAAACACCGAAGTGCCTGGTGACTGTGTGTTGCAAGACTGGCAGCAACCCAAGCAAGCTCCGATCAGTCCTGATGTTTGTTGATTGTCATCTCTTCTTGCATGTGTTCCCGTAGCCAGGACTGACTGGAGTGTTTGCGGCACTGATGACCGCGAACGGCGCCGGACACGTGTCGAACTCGGTATCCCCGCGAGGCCCAAGGACTCAAACCATCCCGAGGCCCAAGGCAAAGCATGCCACTGTGAGCAACCGCACCGCAGAAGCCCTTCTGCACACTTGTCGGAAGCGACTCCCACTATTCATCGGCAGCAGCTTGGTGACGAAGAAGCCAAGCAAGTAGTCGAGCGATGTCAGGGGGGGCATGTAGTATGGCGAAGTCAATTCCTACAAAGGTTGCGGCAAACGCATCCTAGCAAGATGCTGGTAACTGTCGAGTGGACGGTCCACGCATCAGAAGCCAAATCATGCGATTGCCGGCATGCCGCATGCCCTTGGTCTGAGATTGAGTCACGACAAAGACACCCAAGCAGGCCTAAAAATATTAGCTTGAACTACTTGCAATAACCTTTGTTAAGTTCTGGAAGACTGATCAAGACAATGGAAGTCTGCTTTCCTGAACAGGACCATGCTGGCAAACCAAGACCGCAGCCTCCACACGCAGTGCTCTTTGGAAATCCCGAACTGCCGGAAGGAGAGCTGGCCAACAGAACCCAAGTCACTGACAGAGGACTAGCACCCACGCGAAAAATGCAGGGACGTCAGAGCCGGAGACTTCCTTGCTGTCCAGACGAAAGAATCAACTATGTAATCTAAGTTCAGATGGAAGACGAGAAAGAAACCCAGTTACATGCAAACTACAGAGTTTGGCATGGAAGTGCACGTCCTTCATGGACAAAGTCTAGTCTCTGCCCCGTGGATTCCGGCCAACATGGCATGAAGAGCTGCATCCGTCTCTGAAGCGGTTTCACTGAGGTCAGATCCAAGAAGCCACAGATTCGGGCAAGGCATCGGAGAAGCGGTCAACTTCGACGGTCGTAGAATCCCTGGAAGTTGCGGGGTTTCTAGTCTGCTTTTCAGCATGGGAAGTTACAGATTGATGCTTCGCTTGGTGCCAGGCATGCTCTGGGCCAGTTGTTGAGGTGCTGCCGTCTGGTGCTCGAGAACTGGAAAGAGAGCCTGGCTTTGTCCTGCAGTTTTTGAGGTGTGACCCAGCGTCCTCGTCAGAAACACCCGCCACCGACTGCGCCTTTGCGGACTGGCCCTATCCTCGCCTTCGAGAGCAGCGTTTAGAGTTATGTCTTATGTGGTTGGAGCACAGGGCGGACTGGCAGCTCTGTGACAAGTCCTGCGACGGAGGTCAGACTGTCAGGCCCCGCGTTTCCGTGCCCCACGTGACACCTTATGACGCCACCTGCAGCCCGTGAGGACCCGTGCAATCGCAACTCCGGCGGCGTCTGGTGGTACTCCTTGCAGCGGCGGCTTAAAGGATCTCTCTGGAGTATGGCGCATTCCTCAAGCTGCACCATGCTGCACCACTCGAAACGATTGCAGGAGACGGCGTCGTGCAACACCTTGTCTTGCAGCCTTTACCACCAGCCCTGTCGACCTTCGCAGTGGTGCTGCCGCTCAGAACTTTCCGCACTTCGTGTTGGACGTAGAGGAATGTTAGCACAGGACCGAATGGGGACCTTGCACTACGACTTGTGGCCCCGGCAGCTCTTCCCGCAGCCGCACGTTTGCGGAGGCGCGGCACGGCAGCTTCAGGTCTTAAGTGGGACTGCCGCTGCCGCTGCTGTTGCTGTTCTTCTTCTTCTTCTTCCGGTGCAATGTCTTTTCGAGTGGAAAAGGAAATGTCGCATGAGATGCCTTTGCTGTAGAAAGTTTAGTGCTTAGGGGCTAGAGCCAGGTGTTGGGGGACGGCTTGAGGAAGTTTACCTCGCACGTCGGCAGTTCTGGCGCAGCTCGTTCAGCTTTCGGTTTTCATTTATGCCTCGCTCTTAGTCACATTCGTGGCGATTGTCTTGCAGGGGATTGCTGCCAAACCAAGCCCCATCTCAACGACATCACCAAGCAGCCTTGCTTTCATCTGCGCTAAATGATTTTGAGTGGTCCCAACTTATGCGAAAGTTGTTGGACATCGTCGGTCAATTTCTCAATGAGTTCTTGTGCATGATCCCTTTTCTCATCTTAGTCCTGCTGACGATGGTGGAATGCGTTTGCATCCGCTTGGTTGCTGACTAGAACGTTTTTATCCTGGCCACAACTCAGGAAGGGCTTCGGAGCCACTTGTTGCATCACAAAAACCTCTGCCCTGGATGAAAGATCCGGATCCCATGTTTTACCTTGACCGCCACCTCGAAGAGAAGTAACACCTACAAGTGCAATACCTCACCCGGTTTAGTGGCCACTGCAGACAGCGTAGTGCTCACACCTAAAGCCTGATTGCCTTCGCGCCCCATCGCACGGATGCTGGCCAGAAGGTCTGAGGATTCTGCCGGGCTTGAAGTTTGAACGAGATGCGTCGATTGACTGGTTTCCTAAACACTTTGTCAGCATTGAGTCAGCATGGCATGAAGAATGAACATGTCCCTGTTAGAAAGCTTCGAGTTGGCTCGTCACCTGCTGAAACCTGGTGACCGAAGGCAGACCTGGGTGGAGAACCTTGCTCGTTGACGCTGGCCGAGACCAAGTCATGCACCGCGGGCTCTAGACAGGCCAGTGCTGGACGAGTCTGAGTTCTCGATTCTGTCTGGGGCTATCGGCGTGGCAGAGCTGGCACAGGACTGTGGGGTTCAGGATTGCATGATTGACGACTGGTCGGAGCCTTAAATCCTTCGACGCCGGTTGCAAGGACAGTTGGAATTTTTTTGCATCAGGACAGACTGGAAGTCTTGTACGAAGACATGCAGTGGGGGAATCACCGAGTCACCTTCTTAGATCTCGCCAGTTCCTGCGACTTTTCTCTGCACAGCCACCCTGCTCCCAGGCGCCATCGAAAGATCACGCAGCACGCTTCTATGGGAGGAAAGCCTTGTAACCTTGACGAAGACCAGCTGGAGGAGGCTGGGCCTTGCTGTCTCTGTGAAGATTTCCTAAGACACAGAGCCGCCCATGGACGTGGCGTAAGGTCAAAGCATGCGGTGAGGGTGCATGTGAAGTCAACGACAACTGTGAAGACGGCCAGTGGGGTCAATGGGAAGGTCCGTCCAATCAGACATGTGCACACTGCTCTTGTACATGTTTTCGTTTTTCTCTGTGAATCACAAGGCTGGACCGATTGCACGAAGACCTGCCGCGGTGGATTCCGCTTGTCACAACGAAGGCACCATGCTTGTTGGGAACAGGCTTCCGCCAAAAGCATAACGTTGCTTAGCTACATCCCATGCCGAAAGCATGTGATGTCCACTGACTTGTTACACGCCGACAGGATAGAAAGGGTTGTCTTATCTGTTTTTGATGCTGCGTCAGTCCACGAAGAGCCCACGAAGACTCGCTTGCCAGGGTGGTGAAGGAGGCAAATTATTGTGGCACTCCAGCCCAAGGAGTTGCCACAAAGATCGAGAGGCCTTGGTAGAGCGAGTGATTAGGCAAGGCATATCGCCTGTCCCAAGAGCTACTTGACGACGAGATGCTCTTTTCATGTCCAGTGCATGTGTTGAAGTTGTTGTTTGTTGATTCCTTGTGAGTTGCTGAATGCGCTTCGCGACTTGTCCTTGAATCGGTTTCTGTGGGCCAGCGTACCGCTTACCCCGACACGATTGCTGAGCCTCGAGAATCTAAGGTAATGGAATAGAGTGTACCATGATATCATATTATAAAGCAATTAACATAATGGAATATAACGAAACGTAATAGGTAATACATACAAACAGTACAGCACAATATAGTAGAATGTAACAGAACATCAGAATATGACATAGTGTAATGTAAGGTAACTTCATAAACACGTTCGAACATGATACAGATTAGCATAGCAGAACATAAAACAACATCGTGGTGTCATGTATTATGGCATGATATAACATGTCGCAATTCAATAGGATTTGCAATAACGCAGTGTAGACAAGATGAAATGAACTATGATGCAGCACCTACCTGAATGTAGTATGAACTTAGTGTAGTACATCATCAAAGAGATGAGACCATATAGAATACAATATCAAATGTTTTGATATGACATAGTCTCACGTGGCATAGCAATATAAGGTATAGTATCATAAGCGAATTCAATAGATCCTCACATGGTATGGTATAATATGATATGCTGTCGCATTTTCAATGTCAGATGTCATAATATTACAGAGGAATGTAATATATAACATAACTGTACATATATGTAACTTATATGTATATGTAATTGTACAATACGTTTTCGTGTTTATGTATACATACATACATACATACATACATACATACATATATGCACATATGTGTACATGCATAGTAGCTCTGTACAAGCATATGTGCATTTATGTATGCATGCATGCATGCATGTATGCATGAATGCATGTATGCATGTAAGTGTGTATGCATGCCAGTGTATGTATATATGTATGCATGTAGGCATGCGTGTAGTGTATGTCTGTGCTTTTGCATGTATCGTATGCAACGGGTACTGCATGTATTTTGTGTGATGTATGTAACGTATGTAACATATGTAATTTATGTACTGCCTGTAATGCATGCAATGTATCCAGCGATTGTAAGCATGCAAAATTTATATAGTATTACGTACTGTATATAATGTATGTAATGTCTGTAATGCATGTATTGCATGTAATGCATGCAATGCATGCAATACATGTAGTGCATGTACTGCATGTAATGTATGTAATGTATGTAATGTATGTAATGTATGTACTGTATGTGATGTATGTAATGTATGAAACGTTGGGCCGCTACACCCCGAAAGGCTCTCAGACCTCTCAGCAGTTTTCGCGACTTCAGTCGCAAAACCAAGAAGGGCCCCACGAATGTTCAGGGTCTATGAGCCTGAAACCATGGAGGTCCCAGTAAAACCACTGGTTTGGCGTCCCCATTTCCGTGGTGCTGTTGGCTTTATTGGGACCTTCCATGGTTTTGCGCTCCTAGACCTCGAAGATGAAATGTTCGGACCTCTTAGCACTTTCGCACTCCGAGAGTCGCAAAACCAATGTTTGGGCCCCCCATATCCCCAAAGCAATTGGAACTCCCAGCACCGGGGCCCAAAACCATAAACATCCCCAAGGGGGCATTGTTGGACCTTTCAAAAACGTACTTTACATCGATTCTACCGCACCTGCCACAGGAAACAGGCTTCCTCTTGGATTTGTTGAAGGCATGTTATTCTTTGCGTTTAGGAGTTTTGGACCCGCTAGTCGCGCTTGCGGCTTGGCGAGGCTCATGCGGGAAGTAGTAGTAGATTGAAATTGCCGAAAGTGCGCCACGCCTGTCCCGCGAAACAGGGTTTAACACGCGATTGAGAATCTACTGAAGCAACACGTCGCGTGACATGACATGATCTGAAATGACAGGAGATGACATGACATGATACGATATGATATATCATGACATGAAAGGACATGTGATGATGTGCCTTGGCATGTCACACGACGGGTTGCTTCAGTAGAATCGCAATCCTATTTTAAATCCTGCTTCGTGTGACAGGCGTGGTACTTTCATTTTGTTCGCCAGTGTTGCTTTCAATCTACTACTTCCCGCCTAAGAGCCTCATAGCGTATCTTGCAACACAGAACGTCATCACCCCCTCCACCGCCAGAAGAAGCAAAAAGTAGGGGCAGTTATCACCCCATGTGCATAAGCATGATGTTAACAGATGGCTCAATCGATTTCGATAACAAGGAAGTGCTAAATAATATAGCTGATTTTCAGTTAGTACCCAAGTAAGAATATGCAGCATTTATTTGATATCTATCGCAATGGCTGTTTCCTTTTCTGAATATGTCACAACAATATTCGATTACGTGCTGTTCAAGTTATGCCTATGGCATTTGCATGTCATGATTTCGTCCCTTGTGGATACTTGGTAAGCTTATTCGTGTTTTCGTGCTATCTCCTTCTCAATGGAACAAGCGGTAGTCACTAGCTAAGAACGAGTTAGTGCATAACTGCTACATCGTGAATGATAATGTGTCCCGTCTGTTCTAGTATCAAAACGTATTTGATACATGTTATTTGATACTGACTATTGTGTGGCTCGAGCTTTTCTGTGTATGAAGCAGAACAACATGAAAAGTTCAACAACGGCTATTGGCCTAAGTAATATTAACTGGATAGTAGCTCTGACAGAAGCAATAGCAGATTAGTGGCAAATACTGTTTGACTGTGAAGCTGTAGGGAATGACTCGCACTTGGATGAGACATGGGTATTGCGCGAACTGTACGGGAAAACAATAAAGCACATATTATGGCCGTCGCCAGCGCCTATGCACGTGAAGTTATGCAGACACACTGCTAGTATAAACACACCATACAGGCAGCCTAAGGTAGGTACATCGGGGTGTGCGGGTGTAGCATGTATGTATGTATGTATGTATGTATGTATGTATGTATATATATGTATATGTATACATACTGAGACCGTAAAATGCCGCCTACACAAGGATTAGAGACAGGAAGTGATTGAATGAGTGAAGGAAGGAAGGAAGGAAGGAAGGAAGGAAGGAAGGAAGGAAGGAAGGAAGGAAGGCAGGAAAGTAGGTATGTATGTAGGCACCTGTGTGTATATATGTGTACACATACACATATATCTACACACATCTAACATCGTGTTGCCTGTTCGTGCAGTTGCAACGACGGAATCGTCTGCAGCGGGGCAGTGGACTGTGAGCTTACGACCTGGTTATGGCCCCATAGCAAGCGGACACACCGTCGTTGTGCAACCTTCAGCATGCCTAGGACCGAATGGTCCGTATGCGACAAGCCCTGCACCGGAGTGCGCGAAAGAGCCCGTGGAATCAAGGCTCGGTTCGGAGTCGCACCTCTGTCCACTTGCTCCTTGTGCTTGCTGTAGGTTCACCCAGAGAACGGTGGGGTGCCATGCGGCTCCGAGGGGCAGGCAAGAAAGTTGAATGCGAACGCACATGGTGTTTCTTTGGAAGTTTCTGACAACATCAGCTGACGAGGCCACCAGCCTTTCGGAAATGGAGCATTGTCCTCCACAGCCAGGCCACCCCGCAGCCCGCAGATGATCTTGATTTACCCAATGCAGCCAGTTTTCAAGGCGAGACCTGTGTTGTTCCAGAGCCAGATGGATGCTCGGTCGGTTCTGCCCTCAGAGGCCTCTTGGTTGTATTCCTGTCTGTTTATAGCCCTTGTCATCTGCTTAGTGATCGGAGTGTGAGCTTTCGCCTGCGTTCGGGTGACGACCATGGCATTCATTTTGCCGTATTGACAGAAACTCTCCGAGGTGACTGGTCCGATTGGTCCGAGTGTTCTGCGACCTGCGATGGTGGCCAAAAGTCCCGAAGTCGAGAGGCCGCGTCACTGTCGCCGTCGTGATGCGCAGCAGTGCAGCTTATAGTAGCTGGTGGCAGCTGCAGGCTTCGGCAGGCGCCGATGGATCTTGGTATCCCTGCAAGGCCGTTTCGCAGCGCCCGTGCATGAGTTCCAGCTACGCCTGCTCCGCTGCTTGGCGAGGGCGAGCTGAAGCAGACGAGTCCTTGCGCTGCAGACGCGTGTGGCGTAAAGGCAGGGATCACTCTCAGAGTCTCCGAGAGACGTGCAAGATGCGTTTTCCCTTTCGCCAGGAGGACTGCACGTATAAGGACTGGACAGCCTGGGGAAATTGCACCAAGCTGCATCCCTGGAACTGTCTCATGCAGCGTAGTGAGCCGGCAGTCGTTGTTGACTCCATCATGTCTCCAGCATTTTGCTTGCACCCTGATGATTTGATGGGAAGAACATCCATGCTGAACATGCTGAAAGTACTGGTCACAACCCCCGACTAAGCCGAAGCAGCCGCGATTTCAACATGAACTCGGTGTTTCTTTCTTCGGCACAAAGCTTCACAGTCCTGCTTGGTTTTGACTCCAACTTCCGCTCCAAGCAATGGCCTACAATGCTCCTTTCGCCACAGCCCAAGTGGTCTGCTCCTCAGTCAACCGGAGGGTCCGTTGTCTGCCGCTCTGTATGAGAAGGCAGAAGATGCCGTCTGCATGATTTTCGCAGAACAAGACAGAATGGAGTCTGAAGGCGGCGGTAGGCTAGAGACCTCCCCGCCCACTGGTGACCACCTTAATATTGTAGGTTATCACGACAGCTAGCCTCCGGAGCTAGCTGAGTTTCTTAATCAACCGAAGGTCGCAACAAGGGGTGTTGGCAGGGGTCTTCCTAGAGGTGGCCACTTTTGGACCGGTTTCCATTTGCCCGTGGGGCCAGCGGGTCCTTTTTGGGGTCTGAAAGTGGCGTTTCAGACCGTTCCAGACGGGAGAAACGAGCCCCCGATGATGCTCATGATGCTTGCCTGTTGGCTGCTCATGATCGCATGCTGGCTTGGGTTAGCACTTGAAGTAGCACTTCTTTGCTTGCTTCATTCTGTCCTCTATGTTTGCAAGCCTGTTCTGTTGCTCTGCCTAGCTTTCGTCCCAGTCCCTCCTCCCCAAGTTCCTGGCAAACCTAGCTTGTGGCTGCGCCCTTCCAGAATCGAAGTGCCGGATGCCTTGCACGTAGTCCTCCACAATGAGCGCTTGTAGCCTTGCACCAGGGACCTGAGAGTGAGAACCAAAATGAATACCGCGTTGCGGCAGCTGCGGAAGAACTGTGTTTGCATACATTGGCCTACTATAGACTGTGGGGTTCCCCAACACGAGCGGTTCCGGCGTTGGACTTTTATGGTAAGGTAAGTTGAGCCAGAGCAGAAGATTGGTTCGGAACACAGCAGAAAACGGAACGGCCGTAGACTGCATGTTTCAAGCGATCTGCTGGCAGACACACCAATCCAACACGTGAGCAAGGATAACCCGCCTTGGTACCACGAGAAGTCGCATTGGAGAGTTTCTGACCGGTTTGGCAGGCTGGCACTTTCTTGCAAACGCGTGCTCAGTTCATTGCACAAGCATCCGAAGCTGACCTGCGCAGAACCTTGTCCGACATCATGCTCGATGGCGGAGGATATCATCAGGGGTACCTCAACTACAATAGTGCCCGAGCTGCATGTTCGAAAGGCAACTTGCAAGTCAAACGTCGGCATCAGCTATTGCTGCTGACAAGATCCGTCCCAGGTGCGAAGGAAACTCCGGCCAGGATAGCGCGGCGCCTCTCACAGCAAAAGCCGGTGTCTCAAGTGCAAAGACACAGCTGACGATCCGGTGAGCGGGTGAAACGTCAGGTTGGGCTTGACGGGGCGGTTCCAACTCGAGGAGAGTCTGCAGAGAGCAAGTGGTTGAACATTTTTCGAGCCGCGAGCTGCAGGACTTTTCCCGCGGCAGCCTCGGATCCTATCTAAGAGCCCTGCCTTTGCAGATCAAGCATGTTCTGGATCAAGGTCCTGCATCCAGGAGACGCGCTCCACTGTGTCTTGTGGAGTCGCAGACTCCGCAGAAGCCGCAAACTCCGCCACGGACTGCACCCTCCGGAGCTGGAGTCTTGGGAGCTTCGTCAGTGGCCTTGCAAGTCATTGCTGGCAGTAGCCAACGATGGACTGATTCCTGGCAAGTAGAATGTAGTAAGAGAGAAGCAGGCAAAGACAAGTTGTTAAAATGACACCGCAGGTTTGAGGAATGATGATCCCCTTCTTTTGGGGCCCATGTGGCGTTCATACCACGCATCCTGCAGAAGTGCACCTGCATATCCTCCGCAAGTGCGCGCTACGAACACGAACATTCCTTCAACATGCTGCGATCTTCACACGAGCGACACGCCCCAAGAGCTTCGACAACTTAAGCTATTTGCGCATTGCATGAGACGTGACCCAGCATACGTTACACTGCTTTCAGGAGACTGCAGCTAGCCCGTAGCCGCCATAGCCAGTCCCAGACTAACCCCAAGAAGCCCCAGACTGCAGTTCTTGGTATGCTCCCCGCGTGGCGAGTATGTCGGGCTTAGTTATACAGCTTTTAGCAAAAGTATCTGAGGATCTGCATCGTTGCTCGGAGAGAACCAGCTCAGGCCTTCACATCGACTTCACGCTCCCTTTTGATCCTCGGATGCAAAGAGATGCCGACTTCGACTTTGTGGCTCCGAGTCTCGGGGCCTGCAAGGAGAGCTTCGATGTCGCCAGCAGGCTCTAAGCAAGTGGAGGACAACGGGATTTTCGACTTCGAGCGTGTTGTGTTTGGCCAGAGCAGTTAGGACTCCTTCCAGCGTGTCTTCCGCGACCGTGATCGGCGCCACATGGAGTGGAACCTAAAGGTCGCCAGCTTTGCCGCACTGAGCGAAGGTGTGAGCCTCGCAAGCTGGCAAGGCAGAGTACTCGAAGGATGATGGTGGCCTGACGAGGTGGGCCACCATGAGATCAGAGACGACTGCTATGAGCCAAGTCAGATCTTCGCAGGGCAGTCGGCTTTGACCAGAGCGGGCCGGCTCACCCGTTCTCAGCCCTCTGGGACCGCGGATCTCGTGTCGCTCTTTTTGAGTTCTGTTCTGCAGGGTTCAATTGCGTGAGGATGGTCCATCAACAAACTGGGCCAGGCTGACAAGAGGGCCCGGTACCAAGCAGCTGCAGCCCACGCTCTCTGGATTCTTTTGTGGCACCTCAGGAACACTTTGCCCAGCTTTCGACCAATGACTGTACCTGGCATCTAGGATTGTTTTTCTTTGTCACAGTCGTGCAGATAACAAACGGCATTTTTAGCCGTTTGTGGTTAGTGGCTTTATGAGAGGGAGCATCCTACGCAAATGCAGCCCTGCACCCTCATGACTCATGACTTAGAGTACCTTCCGAAGGAAGACCGAATGCTAGTTGGCAAGGTGAGTTGCCGGAGGCAAGTTTTCACCTTGGCATAGATCGAAGATGCAACTGTACAGATCGTTGTGATGCAGCCTGTAGGTTTGAAAAAGTTACGTAAAGCTGCTTGAACGTCACGGTTCCTGGGATTTGACTTGATGGCTTCGCAACCTGAAAGGTGTGGTGGCCAGACATATCGATCACGCTCCATTCAGTCACAGCCTGCGTGGAAGCCTTGGGTGTCTCCGAAGAGCATAACAGAAGTCTCGCCGTCACACCCTGACGGTCTGACAAGGTACGGCGGCGCCGAATGCCAAGCATCTGAAACCATGCAGACGAAAAGGCGCAAGTTGGAGTGCTATAACCTGGCTCGTATGATTGTGTATGACTCTTCAGGTGCCCCCGAGAGTGTGGACCACACCTATACTGGTGTGTGTGGAGTGACTGGGCGTCCTGGTCAGCCTGCACTGAGGCACTCCGCCGCATAGATCTTGTGTCGTGGCCTGCCTCTCGGCTCCGTTCGCGAGGACTGCGGAGTTGGAATCCACTTCCGGAAGCGGTTGCTGACGATGACGGACAGGGCTGCCGAAAGCCCAGAACCGACAAAGTCCGGAAGCTGTTTGTAAGGACACCCAGCCAGCGAACCCGCTGGCAGTGGCATCCTCGGAGAAGGCCCGGCTTCTTGGAACCCGAAAGCTTGACCGCGTCTGACACTGAAGCAAGCCTTTTGAAGGGAGTTGCTCGTTGAAGCCGTAGTCTCCTTGAAGCCACTGACGAAGCCACTGAAGAATCGAACACCCTTCCTGAAAATGCTGTGAGCCTTCCAGACCATTTAGTAATTCATGCTGTTCTTGCTGCTAGGCTCGATGTCGATATCGGTTGCAGACGTATTGTTGCATGCGAGTTTCGCAGTCATTTGAGTACTCCCATATCAATGTCCCGCAAAGCGTCAGTGCATGCTTGCAAGGACTGTGCTGGCGAATTGGTGGATATCGAGCAGCCTGCGCCTTGCAGCTGTCGACTTGGAAGAAGCCTTATCTTCACAGTGGAAGGTGCCCAGACCTGCCCGAATGCGAGAGCTGCGTACCACAGGCTCAGTGACGGACACGAAAAGTGCACGAGGGAACGCGGCTTCACTCGAGGATTGCGTTTTGGGCGAGTGGTCGGAGTGGAGTTCACCGCGCTGCGAGGCGAGCAATGAGCTGAATGTAGGTCTTATGTCCGACTGTAGGCATTGGTCGTCTGCGCCCTCTGTGCAAGCATGTGCAGCATCGTCAGGGCATTTGCACTCGAAGTCGTGGAGTTGCGACTCCGAGCAACGAGTGTGGCAAGCCATGCGAGGGGACAGGGCCTCAGTACTTGCATGAGTCTTAGCGTGTGCAAGGGCCTTGGCAGACATGGACTGAGTGCCAAGCGCATTTACAAGCAGCACGCCTCAGAATCGGGAGGAGCTACCGGAGACTCAAAGCCAAGTATGTTTCACGCAGCAATCGATGCAGCTGCACACCTAATCCAGTTGAAGCAAGCGCTTCCACAGTCGGCATGCAGGGGTGAATGAAGCCTGTTGCTCAAACAATACCTTGTGTTTCCCGTGCTCATGCAAGAGTGCAAAGGATTCGTGCAAGGCCCAGGCCGATCTTCCAGGATTTCGGGAAATCGAAGGGATGTGGGCCATGCTCGGAGGTTCTGCTGCTCCGAGGTCTTTGAATGGCACGAAGCCATGTCACGCCGACTGCCACAGCGAGGACCGGAGCTCGGAGCAGAAGCCGAGAGGCCTCGCCGCCGCGAAAGTGCTATCTTGAGGACTGCCAACTGGGAACTTGGACCGCCTGGACCGGGTGCAACTCCCTACTGGACAACAAGTGCCCTCCTGCACCTTGAGCTGTGCCATGGCTGGTCTCTATGCTTAGCTCATGTATTGCGAGTTGCTGACAGGTATCGTGCGCGGTTGATCACCACTTCTGGAGCCTTCGGTGGCAAGGCAGAAGCGTCGCTAGGTTGATTTCCGCTGAAACCCTGTGCAAGTTACATGTGAAAGGTTTGCCCCCTTAGCTCACTCAATGAGACGTCATCCTGCCAGACAGGGCCAGTGTCTCAAGCTCTTTCCCGCATTAGCAGCTTCGAGCATGGCGTGTGGCTCCAACCCAGGGCAGATGCTCCAGTTAATTGTGTTCTGGCTGCATGGTCATCATGGGGACCCTGCTCAGAAACGCCAGCGCCTCTTGCCATCTGCCTGCAAAACTGAGCAGACGTCAAAATCCTCGGACTGTTCAGGTGCGGTGCTGGCCAGCAGTCTCGATCGAGATCGGTGGCAAGTCAGGCTCGGGATGCGACACTTTTGTGGAGATGCACGCAAGTCTACGACTTAATAGGCTTCGCGCGGTGGGCAGGCCTGCATCGGCAGTGCAGTGCTAAGGCTGCTAAGGCTTAGCTGCAGGTTCCATGTCGAGCTTTTTGTTTCGAGGTATCTGTTCAATCTGACAGTCCCGAGGCCTGAGCGAGTTGCAGCGCTGCGAAGTTGAAGCGTCAGAAGCCAAGTGCTGGGCTTTGGGGTGACACCAGCTCTGCTTGCCGGCATTTGCAAGAGGTGCCCAGCTGTCCCTGCCAATCTTGCAGATTGTCAGTGGGGCCCGTGGCTGGGGACTCGGCGCTCTTCTGACGGACGGAAATGATGAAGACGAGACCTGAAGGTCCGTGTGGCAAGACTGCCATGGTGGCCAACAGGCCGCTGAAAAAAGAGAACGCGGTTCTATTGTTTTAAGACCTCTTCGCGAGCCCAGGTCAGGACTCGCAAGGTGATCCATCCTGTCAGGGGCTCACCTTCTCAGTGTCTCTTCGTGATCACACAACACATGTGAGGCTTCTTAAGAGCTGTTGGTGAATACATACACGAGGACAATGCAGTTGGTTTCCGTTGCAACTTTGCAGTGGAGATGCTGGTCTGAGATCTTTGCTCAATTGCTCGTTTGCTTCTTCTTTGTGTAGTCATCGCAAGGTGGCGATGTAGGATGCCTCCACGAAGTTCGAGGTCTCGAAAACTTTACACGTGGCAGAGCAGATAAACGGTCTGAATTCGTACTTCACACCTTATTCGCTTAGTACCAGGTAAATCTGTGAAAATCTAGAAAACTAAAGCCACATGGTCCAGAATCCCACACTTTCGTTTTCTGACTCCGAGTGGTTCAGTAGGAGTGGGAGACCTTCCGAAGCTGAACGAAAGTGACGATGTTTCCAAGGCCCAAGCTGGCGGCGAAGCTTGCGAGGGCCCCGTGGAGGAGACGAAAAGTTGCGGCCAGGACGCACCCCGTGCCGTGTGCTTCATTCGGACCGAAACGCGGCTTCTTGTATTCCAGGAGCATGTAGGATCTCGAGACTGTGTGTTCTCTCTCTGGAATGAGCCGGAGACTCATGTGGCTCTTCTGCGAGGGCGTTTCGCTTCCGTGTCGCGATTTCCTGCGATTTCCTCAGGTGGAGCTTGTGCTCAAAGACATGCGGTGGAGGGCAGAGGCTTCACACCTCCGTGCGACTGCGGCAAGCGTGAAGATCTGCCAACTGCCTCTCAGTTCGCGGTCTCGCGTGATTGACTGGCATGCTCAAGAAGGCTCGTTTCCTGCCAGTCGTGAGTATCGCGAGTTGCAGCCTTTCATTGCGCGCCTTGCGGTTGTCGCAGATGGAAAACAATGTGCTGGAACCCTCCTGGAAGTGAAGCCCTGCGCCATGGACCGCCCTCTCCTGTTCTGCAGGCTGTCTACTTGCGCACACATCTGGCTTGACGCAGGACTCCTGCGCAGATGCTGCAGCCACTGCTGGATTCTTACAACCCCACAAGTAGTCCCTGTAGCTGTTGCAAGCAGCCAGATTGGCCAAGAAGACATATTTTCGCACCAAGATGTGCACCTACACGGACTGGACAAGCTGGGGGACGTGTTCGCGTTCTTGTGGAGGAGGCTACAAGGAGAAATTGCATTTGTGCGCTCAACGAGCCTGGGTGATTCGTGCCTCCGTGCTTATCGCCTTGCAGGAAAGATCCCGGGACATCCGAGTTCCAGCTGTCACAGGCGACCCACATGATGCATGTTAATCGGTTTGCATGGCACTCTCACGACCCTGTCCTGAGGGTGAACGGGGAGGTGGTGGTGTTTACTTGCTGGGCAGGCTTGAGCGGCTGCAGTGGCACGCTGAAAGAGGCTCCATTGTGGCAGGGCCTACGTTTGGGTGGGCATCGGAGCATGAGTTGCCTCGCAGTCGATGGCATGCTCGTCGACTCCGTGCCAAAATGCCGTGGACTGCGTCTGGGCCGAGTGGGACGAGTGGTCGGAGTGTGTAAAAGTCCGCATCTCAGGAACGCCAGGGGTGTGCTTTCGAAATTTCGACTCTGCGCATGGCCAGGCACCCTCCATCTGCGGCGTTGGATCCAAACGTTCGTCCCTCAGCTGGATTCAAAGACGGCCTTGGTTCCTTGTGGCTTTAGAGGCCGCAAGCGCAGCATCGCCGTGATGCCTGCGAACGGCGGGGCTCTCTGCGACCCCAGGCCTGAACCGAGGAGCGGAGCCTGAGCCCCTGTGCCTGCGCGCTTTCGGAGGCCCTTGGAGCAGGTGATGCCCGTCAGCAACTGCCAGGGGCAGGCCAGGGCGTTTCCTGTGTTGCGCTCAGCGCCCTGGCTTTCGGCCCCAGGCACCGTGTTGCATTGATGGCGTGTGGCAAGACTGGCAAGCCTGGGGAGGGTCGTGCCTGCATGCTTGCATATGCTTGCATATGCTTGCGCCACAGACAAAGAGGTCACAAGGCGTGGCAATGCGGGGCTGCCAGGTGCAGTGCGCACCGCGGCACTGGAACCCGCAAGAGGGTGCGAATAGCCACGCAGGACGTCCGTGACGCTTTTCTCCGCCCACGAGCACTGCCATAAGTTGCCGCTTGCACATGCAAAAGAGATCTCCAGCTGCGGTTCAAGACAGCAGCCCATGCCAGCTTGGCCCCACATTGTCCCATAGCTTCTGATCGTCGACGGGTCTTCAGTGCAGTGCAGCTGCACAGTCTTCTTGAAAGGTGTAAGTGACAGATAGTGACAGTTTGACAAATATCTTGCAGCCATGGTGGGTGGAAAGATTCGCAGTATGACCGAGCTGGAGCCACCAACGCCCGAGGACAGTGCAGATTGACGAAGGAAGATCGCTGGACGATTCCATTATCTGCTGCGTTCTGCTACGTAGTTGCAACGTTTGCGCAGGAAATTGATGCTTTCGTTGTTGAGAACCGGTGGTGGCTCTCAGATGAAGCAGAGGCGCTCGTCCGTTTGCAGACGCATCTGTGCCCAGCTACTGTAGCCAAGCGACTCTGGCAGGGCATCTTGAGGGCTATGGACGGCCAGGATCAGCGACACGTGGACGCCTCAATCTATCTTTTCTGCTATGTCGTGCCAGTCGCTGCTGCATGCTGCAGGAAAATTCGTAAGTTCTTGCAAGTTGTGGTAAGGTCATCGCTGAGGGCTCGATGTCCAACTGCAGAGATCCAGTGGCCATAGTGAAGTCTCGTGCCTGGAACGGCCATTTGAAGGCGGGCTGCGTGTGAAGCACATCCGAGGGTACAAAAAACTCAAAACCGGTTCCTCTGCAGTCGCAGAGTGCAGAGAGTCGCATGTTTGAGTCCAGATGGGCCGAGCTCAGCAAGCAAAAAGCCGGGGGAAACAGAACACTGGACGAAAGAGCTCCATCCTTCCGGTGCAGCCTTCTGGCTCTTCCCATCAGCCTCGTCGAGGTGCAGGATTATTGTCGCGGCGCTACTCGAGCTAGAGCCGCAAAGCGAGGAACAAGCATCTGCACGACATGGACAAGATGTCGAACTGTGGGTACAAAGCTCTCTATCTCTCTCTCTCTCTCTCTCTCTCTCTCTCTCTCACGCGTTGCTTTCATCTCAATTCCAAACCCACCCTGCGTTTCGTGGTATTCAACTCTAAGTTCAGGCAAGCATCATGAGTCCTGGGTCTGCAAGGGGCACACTTGCAGGCACATATGGAGTGGATGGAAGAACGTCGAGATGTATCTGCGCAGCAACTCGTTGATGATTTCGTGACTGCCAATGCGCAGTGGATCAACTCGGAAGCCGAAGACCTCTTGGCATCTTTGGACCTTGATCTCCTCTGGAAAGTCATCGACTTCGGATCGCTGCAATTCTGCCGCGATCCTGTCGCCATCATCCGGATAAGGATAAAGGACGCCGAGCGTGGCAAGGCAGGGATCGCCAAAATTTTCAACGTTTCGTTTCCGGTGCCTTTGTGCATTGTCTTGACGCGAAGGGTGGGAAAAGCGGCAGAAAGAGCGGCAAGGGGAGAAGTGAACCGAAGGCGAAGCGGAGACGGACTGACATGGAGGGCTCAAGGGAAGCCTGGTGGGAAGAGCCACCAGGACCGTCACAGAGCCACCTCGAGAGCCCATTTTGCAGCCCTTCGTAACTTTCAGGTGCATCCTCCCAAGAGGCGGCGCAGGCCGGACATGGCTGGGCGCTGTGCTCGCTTCGCTTCTTGGCTGGACTGTATGCTGGTAGATCAGGACCCAGATGAAAAGAAAGGGCCAGACGAAAAGCACATGCGAGCAGTTGAAGAGGGGAGATGCCTCTTCGTCGTGGGGATCCCTCCATTGTGGAGCGTCAGCCAGACCGAAGAGTTCTTCAGTTACCACGGTGTCGTCGAGTCAGTCTATCTGCTCGGAGCTGAGCAGAGCAATGTGCTTGCATTGTGCGTGCATGTCCCTGCTGTCCCCTTCCTTTCTCAAGGCTGCACTTGCAGAAAGCCACCAACAGGAGGGCGGCCTATGTCAACTTCACTACGGAGAAAGGGGCGAAAACTGCCGCCTTGGTGTGCGACAGGCTCGCTTCGAGTGATAGACTCCAGTCAAAACCGTTCCACTGCGTCAAGGCTGGAGGTCGAACATCGAGAAGAGACGCACTATCTCTGCTGTAGCATCAAGCAGAAGGCAGGGAGAAGAGGAGGGCTCAGGAAATGCGATGCGCACTTCTGTCCATGTCGCAGGCAGGATCTAAGACTTACACGAGAAGGCTCAGCCAAGGACTGCGTGGAGAGGCCGACGTGGCAAAAGGCCGCTTCCCGCGCCCGCTTGAGTCCTGAGTGGTCAGGTCGACTTTAAGCAAGCTCAAGAAGAAGCCCGGACGGTCTTTCTTTCAAGGACTCGTTGCAGCACCAGCTGTGTCCACAGGCAGTTACATTGTCATGTTCCTCTTTCGCATGTTCGTCCCTTTGCAGGCTACCGGGTTATATATCGAAAGAGCAAATACAAGAGTTGACGGAGGATCATGGGGTGGTGGAGGCGGATGGATTGTGTTGGGGAAGTTTCATGGTTATAGTGTTGCTATGCAGGCGATCCACTTCCTTCCCGCATCAAGCTACAACACCATCGCTTGCTTCGTGACGATGGAGAGCCCTGGTGAAGCAGCGTTCATGATCAGGGCGTTGAACAACACAGAGGTGCAGTTGTGACCGGTGCACATGTTCTTGCAATCGCTTCAGTAGCTCTCTAGCAGTGCAGGCATTCGGGACCATCATTTATGCCAGTCTAGCCGTGGAGAAAAATGATAAGCGGAAGAAGCTACACCCAGAGGAGGAGTGGATACAATGGTATCCTCTGGAAATTCGCAACTTCCCGCACTGGACCGTCCCGGATGACATAAAAGCCACGATTTCAACCGTCGGGCCGAGTTCGCAGAGAGTGCGCATTATGCACTACGATCCGCTGCCTACCCTGAGCATCGCCAGGGCATATTTCAGGGAAGAAGCAGACCGGGACGCCTCTCTCAAGGAGCTCGCCGGCTATGAGTTCTCGCCGGGGTATCCCTTGTCGGCTGAAGCTCTTCCAAGGACTGTCTTCCTCCGTGTCAGTTACTGCCATGGGAGGGGTGTCCTGCCTTTTGGAACAAGGATAATGAATCAAAAGTGTGTTACATGTACTTGATTGGGCGCTAGGGAAGCCCTTCCTTCAGTGAGGACTCCCGGAACTGGTCCTGGAACTGTGCAACTGCAGCAGCAGTGGCAGAAGTGGGAGCAGCCGTCGGAGCCGTCGGAGGATTCGCAGCAGCCGCAGCAGCCGCAGCAGCTGCAGCAGCCGCAGCTGTCGCAACCTTCGGCCTTCAATCCTAACTTAGTTGCAATGTCTATGATGCCAGCACTCAACATTCCAAACAGACCGACAATGCCGATGCTGAACATACCTGGAGGAGGTGCTCTGGTTGAAAATGCCATGTTTCCCCCGGCTGTCTTCCCAATGGGATGGATGCCATCCGTTGGCTGAGACTGGTCATTGGACATGAGTGGCTCCTTCTTCGCTCTCTGATTGACACGACCGACGTGACCGGAGGCAGAAGATGGACTCGTCGTCTCCGAGAAGCCTGAGGATCCTCGCCCGGAAAAGGCCAAGGCCACGCAGGAGGTACTCAGCAGGCCTCTGACAAGGCTGATCGATATCCTGCAGCTCAATCAGCGCCTCTGACATGTGACATGGGCAAAGACCCATGTCGTCAAGATGGTTGCCGGCGACCGGACAAGACAATTCGAGCTGGTAGCTGTCGTGTTGCGAGCATGTATCATCAGAAGCATTTCATCACAAGTCCAACTAATGTTGATAGTTATGCGCTTGCCAGGAGACTTTCTGTGGCAAGCCTCCTGCGGGCACTAGTACGGAGTACGAGGAATGCTCTGCAGGCACTTTCTTTTGACAAGACTTCGTCAGCTCTGCCCTTGCAAGTCGATTTTTCTGATGGCATTCGGGTTGGAATGTTGCTAGCTTGGGACCTGCGGTTCCAAAACCTGACGGAAACGAGTCGCCTCGGCCAGTTGATGTAGACTGCGAATTTGGCGAGTGGACGCCTTTCTCGGCCACAGGCTTAGCTTCGCATGACATGCTAACGAACACCGCTGCTTGAATCCCTGCTGAGGCTTGCTCTGCTGCCTGCTATGGACAACAGCGTAGCGCTCGCGTAATTCTCCGGAACAGTTCAGGCGCTTTGACAAATTTCTGCCTAGTTAGGTCTCCGAGAGGTTATTGAGCTCACCCAGGCAGTGGCAATCCTTGCGATGGGGCGGTGGAGAAGGCTGTTCGGTAGCTTGGCTTGATCTTACGGTCGAAGCACCCTGACCTCGTCTCCGACGGCTCTCGTGAAGCAAACAGCAAAAGCAGCTCGGGGGCAAGTGCTTGCTCAGGTGCAACCCAGCTGAGGGAGAAGATGCACCTGACAGTTGCCAGTGCCATGGTTGGAGAATTTGACTTTACCCCAAGCATAATGGACACGCATCTTCGCAATGGCGACACATGGTAGGGTTGCGGCTGCTTCAGTAGCCTGATCGCCGAGATGTAGGAAGTGTCATGCGTGTAGGCAGAGTCATGAGTCGCACTTGGTCCGGCAGAGTAAGCAGCTAAGGAGCCACCAAGCCAGCGGAGTTCAGCACTGTGTGATGAGCCACTGGTGGATCAGCAGTTTTCGGGACTGCGACTTTGAGCTTGCATCAATCGCCCAATGATGCCAGGTCCGAATGGACTTCCTGCACAGCAACATGCGAGAGAGGTTTCTCCACGCGCTCGAGGTATGTAGAGGCGGACCTAACCATGTGAGCAAACAAATTGATTTCATCGGAGTACGTGCATAGCATTGATGCAGACGGCATGAATTCTTTGCTTACCTCTGTGCGTGGCGCCGGCTTGGCGACTGTCTTGCACTCGCAGCATATGCGCGGTGTAGATAGAGCTGTGACAGGTCAATCCTCAAAACGGCGGGGATTCGTGTCCCACCAGCGTCAAGGATCACGATGCACTTCAATGCTTTGGAGGGTTTCTTGAAGTCTACAGTCAATTGGAAGCAGAGGTCTAGCAAAGAACCTCAAAGCTAATAAGACTCGTTCTTAAGGTTGGCAGAGAAGCATGATGAGCATCTTGCTCTCGCAGGAGATGAAACTTTGCAATGATGGCGTCAGCTGCTTCCACGGGCGTGCCTCAATCTTAGAACCATCCCTTGAGACAATACGAATCCCAGAGTGCTGAAATGTTGTATTTATGGGTCAACGCGTCAGGCGCCCTTGCCACCAGCAAGCATACGGTAGCTGCCGCAATGAAAGACTGAAGTACAGGGCAGACATGGTGAAAGATATTACCTCACCAATCCTCTTGCAGAGTGAGACACGTGGCCAGTGCTTGAAGTGCTAAGGTTGACTGTGTTTGGGAGGAATGGACAGATTGGAGCGTGTCCTCTCCTCAAGAACTCGCTCCGGGCGGTTCCTGACAACACTGGTCGTCACTTGCAGCAGGTGTGATGCTTTCGATCTTGCGACGCGCACTCGTGGTTACGCTCGTCACGCTGCCGGGCCCTCATGCGTGGTCAAACTCACCATGATGCCAGAGCTCTTGTCCGCAATGTGAGGAATCCGGTGGCCTTGACTGTTCCGGACCCATCCGGGAAGTCAAGGGCTGCAGCAGTGACGGAGGGAGCTCTTGCTCAGTTTCATGGTGGCTGCCTCATATGGGGGGACGTTGCGGTGTTGGAAGACGGGGAGAGAACGAGATCCATTCCGCCAATCATGGCCCCAGTGAACTTTTCTGTACAGCCATGACACTCTGCATACATAAGAACTGAATGCATACGCTGCAGCGCTTGAGCCCGAAGGAAAAGCATTTCTCTTAGTTTGGTAGCGGAGCTCTGGCTCGCGTAATTCCAGGCGACCAGAGGCTACCGAGAGCAATAGCTCTGCGCCCCCGCCGGCGGCGCGTGGCAGCAACGGATTTCAGCAAGCTGATCCTCGCTGCGAGCACTTGGCTGCTGTTTTCGAAGACGAGCTTCGCTGAGCTCAACAGCCAAAGCAAATTCGAAGCCACAGCTCTGGTGGCAGGAGGAAACTCCCACGACACCTCAGTCTTTGTGCACTACGATCTCGACGAGGCTTCTTTGGAACCCTCGGCCGAGAACTTTTCCCTTGAGTTTTTCGATTACCCGATTCTCCCGGCGGGCTACGACAAGGTTTGGAACTTTGAGACCGTTGCTGAGTGTGAGTTCGGAGGCCTGCAGCAGAACCACTTCGGCAACCACAGCGAGCTCTCCGGCGACTACCTGGACCTCCTCTTCGGCAAGAACAGCGAGATCTACTACCAGGACGACCGTGCTCAATACAGCCTGGAAGGCGAGATGGCAGACCACGGCCATGGACCGGGCGGCGGTGGAGGAATTCCCCTCCACGAGTTCCGGCGAGACGTGCCGCCAGGCTGGAGCCCGAATCTTCCAGACTATCCTTTGAGGCTTTTCTTCGAGAGGTTGAAGTTATGGTACAGGATTTATGAAGGACAAGATGAGATGGTTGGGCCATTGGTTGCAGGACGGCTTCAAGGCAAGGCCCAACGAGTTGGAATGCAGTTGCGTCTTCCTCGTCCGGACGGCAATGTGGACGTGGGATCAGACGCCCTGGTCAGGCTGCCGGTGGACGAAGTTCGGGACCCGTCGGATCCCTCAATCGTCCTCCAGAGGGCGATCCCTTCAGGAGTGCAGGCGCTGTGCAACGCACTCCGGGATGCGTTCGGCTTGTCGGACCAAGAAATGGTGAGCCGATCTATCGAGGACTTCTTTGAGTTCCGACGGGGGAAGATGACGTTCCAGGAGTACTCGATAGAGTGGGACATAAGGCTGGAGGAGGCTACGACCCGAGCCGGCCTTGACTTGAACGAGGTTGGCAAGTTTTACTTTTTCTTCAAGAACGCCAACCTGACCGCCAAGTTCGTCGACGACATCAAGCTACAGCTCCAGGGAGACTTGCGCAGGTTTCAAGAAGCAAGGAGCCTGGCGCTGAGGCTGATTACCAGAAAAGACGACGCTGGCGAAAGCTACTACCTGGACGACCCGGAAGAGTCCCTGGGCAGCTCATGGAATGATGATATGTGGTCCGAAGACGGCTGGTACTGGGTGGACAGTTCGGACAGCTACTGGACCGATGACTACGAGTACGATTGGGATCCCTATGCTGGGGATCAAGAGGTCTGGTACGAGGATGAAGAAGGATGGCCTGATGAAGGTTCCGAGTTCTATGACGACCACCCGAGCTACCACGGCGAGTCCCATGAGATGGACAAGAGCAAGGAGGACCCCTCGCGTCAGGGATCCTCCTCCCCCGGCTCAGAGAGCTATCCGGCGAAAGGAGGCAAGGGCCTGGGATGCGCCATTTGTGGTTCTCGGTGGCACCAGACTTCGTCGTGTCCTGTTGGAGGATCGAAGGGTGGCGCAAAAGGCCACTCGAATGGCTACGGCGGCTCTTGGGGAAAAGGCAAGAAAGGCGGTGGAAAATCGAAGAGCAAAGGCAAGGGCAAGTGGATTCCGCGCTTCAAAGGTGGAAAGTCCAAGGGCAAAGGCAAAGGAGGAAAAGGCTACTACGGCTACTCCAAGGCGCTGATCCACAGCTTCAACGAGACAAAGCCCTTGACACCGGAGCGTCCGAGGACAGTGCACTTTAAGCTGGACGCCGATGACGAGCAGCCGGTGTTGAACCTACAGCGACCTCGAGATGATCGTTCAGACGATATGCGCCAGGACACCTCCTCGTCGGCACCTGTGGAGAAGAAGCTGGACTTCACGTTTGCCACGGCGATCTACGGATCCAACGTGACCTACCACACGGTCCGAGGCGAGCAAAGACGAGGACTCTTGGTGGATCCTGGAGCTGCTTCCGGTCTCATCGGCAGCGAGACCCTTCGTGATCTACTGGAGCACTGTGTGGACCAGAAGGGCACCGATCAGGTGCTGTGGAGGCACGACAAGTCCACCAGTGTCAGCGGGATTTCCGGCACGCCAGAGGCAACTCTTGGTGAAGTCCATTTGCCTCTTCGGATGGCTGGCGCACGGAGCACATATTCCGCTGATGTACTTGGAGGCGAAGGTTCGTTGTGCCCGGCTTTGTTGTCGAACCCTGCTCTTCGAAAACAGAAGGCCGCCATTCTCTGCGACCACTTCGAGAACGGCGATGGGGTTATGGTGATCCCCAAAAGCCAAGGCAGCCCAAAGAAAGCTACGTCATGGCACTACCTCCGCCTGCTGCTCACCGATTCCCGACACTACCTGCTTCCTGTGGATGATACAAGAGAAGTGTCTGGTCACACCAAGGGCGAGATCGAGCAGCAGATGCGAGTCTGGTTCCAGGACATCAAGAATGAATGGAATGATGTGAGACACTGTTTCCTTTTGGAGAAGGAGACAACGAAAGGTCGGGAACGTGAGCGGTGTTATGAATTTGGAGCCCTGACAGACTCGAATCCACTGGAGACCACCTCCTCTACTACCTCTGCGTGTTCCTCGACTACGTCGAGTCCGTTGACCAAGGAGAAAGATCAGAGCAGAACAGACATAGTGTCTGTTAATGTGACAGGCTCGAATCCGAAGACCACCTCATCTACTACCTCTGGTCCTTTACATTTATGCTCACAGGAACCGTCACAGTCTGGGTCCCAACATGCCGAAGTCAGTGTGGATATGTCTCCCACTGCACTTCCTGGCAAGCCGTTTCTGGACGGTCCAACACAGCCGGTCAGCCTTCCTGAGATCGATAGCTGGTCAGTGGAAGAAGGCTACTTGGTGCGATATCATCGGGTACCTCGGCGCATGCTCTTTACTCCCAACTGTGCCACAGACTGCCCCAAGGACATGTCACTCATTGCCGGCAGCAGAACTACTTACATGCATCTTCTTCCTCGGAAAAGAGGTGAACGAGTTCTACGCGATGACTGGAAGAAGGCCGGCATCCCCAACCGTGACATGGAGCAGATGTGGACGGGACGTACAGTGTTCAAGGTTGAAGCCAAGAAGGAGTCGCCTGCGCCGATTCCCGAAGATGAGACAGTGTTGGATATGCTTAGTCGCGAAGACTTTCCTCATTACGATGGCGACACTTTCCCAACGCATTGGGACCAGACAAGGAAGGATGAGATGAAGCTGGAATATCAGGCGATTCCAGAAGAATTTTATACCAACCGATCACTCCGGCGAACTTCTCATCCTGGATGCGAGCCTCGACCAAGCGAGGCCTCCGCTTCCAATTTTGGGAGCTATGTGCTGGAAGCGGAAGATTGAGCCTGGCGTTACTCACGGCCTCCATTGTGGTTGGCTTCCCAGTCGATTACAGGTATGGCTGGGACCTGGCACATCCGCCACACCAAGAACTTCTTCGGCAGTGTCAGGTAGAGTTCCAACCGGCACACATATTCGCAGCTCCAACATGTCGACCATGGTCTGTTGTCTCGACTTCAAAAGCTCCTGCTCTTAGGGCAGCTGAACGTGCTCGGGAGCTGCCCACCTTGGAGTTCCTCTACGAGATCATGCTGTTCCAGCACAACAGCAACCTTGGATGCACTCTGGAGCAGCCGTACGGCTCGGCCATGTTGACGGACAGTCCCATAGCTCGACTTCGGGACACCGGTGGAGTGCGGATCTGGAGGCTGGACCAATGTATGCTGGGCGCTCAAGATGAACGCGGCTCTCCCATCCGGAAGGCCACTGCCTTGCTGAGCAACCGACGGCTCAAGATGGTGATCAAACGGTGTGATGGACATCGCGGCAAGCCACATGGTGTTCTGCAAGGCAAGGTGTGCGGGGTCAACCGTACAGCGATGGCAGCGGTTTATCCGAAGAGACTTTGTCAACTCTTCGGTCAGGACATCTGGAGTTCCCTTCGTCGGGACGCTGCCACATCGTGCAGGCCTTGGCCACCGCAGCTACTTTGGATGCACGGTATCTACTACAGCTGTGAACGATGTCAACTTGGCAGGTCTGCACCTCCTGGCTGCGAGCACACCTTGATACCAGGCCAGTGTCGCTACGGCCAACCTGGAATGCGCAAGAACAGATCTCTGGCAGCACCTGAAGCACCACAACCGCCTCGTGATGCACCACCACCGGCACCTGATGCACCACAACCACCTTCGACCGAAACTGCGGCTTCTTCTCCTGCTCCTAGCCGCAGCGACTTGGAAGATGTCACGGGCCCTTTCAAATTTCTGGCCCGCAACGGCGACTACTCCATGGTGAAGTTGGTTTGTGACTCGAGTGTTCCGTTGTCTGGTGAGGCACGACTTTACCTCAAGGCGGCCTTGCTTCAAATGCTGCGCACCTGCATCGACCTCTTCAATGACAACACCTCCGTCGACTACGACCACTGGTTGGAGGACCCTGTTCTTTTGAAGGTCTTCCAGGAGATCTTTGCAGCGCATTTTTCAGTTCTGGGGGTGATGTGCTCGTTGCGACCCTGGCGGCGGAAGGTTCCGGACCCCTACTTGAGTTCGGCTTGCGCTCCCTTACGGCTGCTCATCCAGGGCAACATGCGCCAGTGGCAGGTTTATGCCTTGGAGGATATGCGTCTTCTGTCTCACAGCCAGTTGCACGAGCCGCTCGGGGAGTCGGATTGGATCTTCCACCTGTTCGGCGTTCGGCCCAACGACGTCATGGCCGATCAAGTTCCGTCGGTCTTGGATGGCGACCC